TGTGATATGGTGAATGATATATGGCCTTCTCTGGGTAATGATTTTGTTTAGAAATCAAAGAAATTGTCAGAGGATCTTCAGACTTGGAATCGCAAGCACTTTGGAAATATTTTTGGTCGAAAAAAACATTTACTTGCGCGTACTAAAGGTCTTCAACGATTACCTGCTCAACACCGCTCGCACCAATCGAACGTCTTAGAAGCTTCTCTGATCATTGAGTTTAACCATCTATTGGAACAAGAAGAGTGGTTTTGGGTTTAGAAATCGCGTGTTCAATGGATTCAACATGGAGATAAGAAACTCGATTTTTCCATCTTTCTACTATAACTCAGCGTCGGCATGACAAAATCACCATGCTCAATAACAATCATGGTGTGTGGATTAATGACCCTCAATGCCTCCAAGAGATGGTCTTTAATTACTCTCTATACTATAATGAAGGCGAAGTTACTTACCAATTGCCCACACTCAATTGCTCCAGAATTTCCTTAACTTGTTTCTTACTAAAAAAGTGTTGGCAGATGAAGTCCGAAGTGCCCTCTTTATGAAGAAACCTTGGAAAGCACCTTGTGATGACGGCTTCCATGCGGGTGTATATCAAATATGTGGGGTACTTTCCATGAGACCCTCACTTCTATTATGCAATCATCTTTGGAATCAGCTTCTTTCCCAGTGGAATTGAATCATACTCTTATTGTTTTGATTCCCAAGGTGTCTGCCCCCGAATCGGTGAAACAACTTCGACCCATAAGTTTGTGCACCGTTGCTTACAAGCTCATCACTAAAGTTATAGTCAACAGATTATGGCCTTTGCTTAATGACTTGGTTAATCCCCTTCAGTCCAGCTTCATCCCAGGAAGACAAGCGGTGGACAATATCCTCATTGCGCAAGAGGTGTTACATAAAATAAAGCGTTTCAAATGTAAGAATGGTTAGTCGCTATAAAAATTGATTTGGAGAAGGCTTATGATAGGGTCCGTTGGGACTTTCTCGAGGATATTCTGAATCACTTCGACTTTCCTCAATACTGGATTAATCTCATTCTTTTTTACTTAAAGAGCTCAATGCTTTTTGTTCTTTGAAATGGTGGGAAAATGGACTATTTTAACCTTTCTCGGGGTCTTTGCTAAGGAGATCTGATCTCGTCGTATCTTTTCTTTCTTTGTGTGGAGAGGCTTAGGCATTTGATTCAATACGTTGTTGCTAATCATTCTTGGAAACCGAACAGAATTGGGAAAAATGGGCCTCAAATCTCACACCTTTTTGTGTGGATGATCTCTTTTTATTCGGAAGAGCCAAGGAAGACCTAGCTTACATTATCAAGGGAATCCTTGATGTTTTTTGCACTACTTCTGGGGCTAAGTAAATTATGAGAAATTCAAATTTTATGTATCTTCATCTGCGAGGTTAAGCAGCGGTAGATACTTCGCTCAAATTCTTAATTTGTCTCAATCTCCTGATCTTGGTAAATACCTTGGCGTGCCCTTGATCCATGGTCGAGTGTCAAAAGTTACGTATAATGAACTGGTTGATAAGGTTAAAGAAAGACTAAGCAGCTGGAAATCCAATACTCTATCGATTGCTGGCCGAGTCACTCTTGTTAGTTCCGTAACATCCGTAATTTCGACTTATACACTGATGACGATTAAACTCCTGATTACTATTGTTCAGGAAATTGACAAGCTTAATATGTGATTCCTTTGGGGAGGGAAGACTGAACAACGAGTACCCCATTTAGTTGCATGGGATGAGGTTTGTAAACTGAAAAGGGTTGGGGGTCTTGAACTTCGGTCTATGGCTAAGTATAACTCGATTCTTCTCCAAAAAAAAGACATGGCGGTTCCTTCACCAACCTATTAGCCTTTGGGTTACAGCCTTCAAGGCAGTTTATGGAGTTCATGGGGATGTTATATTGTTTGTCTTGAACCCTTCTCTAAAGACAGCATCTTGGTCGCATATTTTGAGAAGCCTTATTTTTGGCTTAAAGGATCTGGCCTCCGGAATGATGCGCAAAATAGGCAACGGTAAGGACACACTTTCTGGCAGGATAACTGGCTTGGGGAACCGATCTATAGGTGTCCGAACGTTGATCCAACCTTGGTGGATGACTCGACTAGAGTCTGTGATTTTATCACGAGGGACTTCGAGTGGGATACTAATAAACTTTTTGCTTTGCATCCCATGGAGACTGCTGTGAAAATCATAGGGTATCCGCTGCCTAAATTCTCTCCCGTGCAAGATAAGAATATTTGGAAATATTCTTCTAATGGTGTCTTCACAACTCAATCTGCATATCTTGCACTCACGACAGTGCCTCCTGATGATCAAACTCCCCATCTTAATTGGCTTTGGAGTTTGCCTATTCTCCCCAAATGGAAATTCTTTATGTGGTTAGCTTGGCGTGATCGCTTATTCACAAACGCTAGAATGACCTACCTTGGAATCTCTAATTTTCTCGATTGCCCCGCCCTTGGCCATCATGCGGAAAATCTGATTCACATCTTGCGGGACTGATTTGTAGCTAAGAACTTTTGGAACCATTGCATTGAAAGATCTCAACGAGGGCAATTCTATGTTATGGACTTGCGTAAGTGGTTGCATGAGAACTTAGCTACGTCGAGGAATTCCCACGCTCCACTTATCCGTTTTGCCAGTGCAATTTGGAACTTTTGGAAAGAACGTTGCCAGAGAAATTTTCAACCTAAAGATTATGTTTATGATGAATCAAGAACCTGGCTGCAGATTGCTTCGCCCACCAATAAAATGCTTCAACTAAACCATAACTACCCGAAGAACACGACGTCAACTTTGATGGTGCATTGGTCGTCACCCTCAAACGGCTACCTAAAGCTCAATACTGATGGAGTTAGCCAAGGCAATCCGGGAATTGCAAGAGCTGACGGCTTGCTTAGAGACGAAAATGGTGCATGGGTTATGGGTTTTGCTGCTCACTTGGGGACTTGCACAAGCGTAACAGCGGAACTTTTTGCCATTCGGATGGGTCTTTCTCTAGCATGGAAATATGGATATTATTGTGTTTTTTGTGAAGTTGATGCAAAACTTGCTCTCAACCTTATCAACAATTGTCATAGCTCCTTACACCCGTTGGGGTCCCTAATTGAGGACATCAGAAGTTTTAAAGCTCGTAACTGGATACTAATGTTTCAACATATCCATCGCGAAGACAATTTCTGTGCCAATATACTCTCCAAACTCGGGTGCTCCCTGGAAGATGATCGTGTGATCTTCAGTTCATCACCGACTGAAGTTTCTCGCATGTTAGAAGCTGATAGCAGAGGTGTGTCTTTCCCAATAGGCTTTTCTTTACAGTAATTTAAGCTTTCCTTTTTGTAACCAAAAAAATTGAAAATATTATACACTTCACACGCTCTTTTCGTCCATCTCCGAGTGTGTCAAATATTATACCAAAAAACTATTGTAAACATAGGGAGCACAAAGAACATAAGCATATGGAATTTTCTTGTATCTCATAATTTGATATATATATCCCAAAATTTGATGTATATTAAAACTCTTCTAATATTCTTACAAAATTTATCTCAACAACATAAACCTTAAAAATTATAGAGATCAGAAAAATGATTATCTCTCTCTGAAATGATTCTCTCCCATGATTTTAAAGCTTAAGATATACTCGTATAAATTTTATAGGAAAATCAAAAGCGGTCACCAAGAATCCTTAAGTAAACTTAATCACTAAATAATCTTCAAACATTGAAATTACAATAAAAATCCAACTAATTTATCAATTAGAATATGAATTAATATTTAAGAATCTCTCTATTGACACAAATTTTATTCGAGCGTTATCTTTAAGTCTTCAAAAATTTCAATGAGCAAGTCAAAATTTGTTAAAACACTATTGGATCGATTCAGAATACTCCCCCTACAACTAAAATTAGCAAATTTCTTTGAAACATGACTCGTGATATCACTTGTTAATAATTTGTAAATGAAAAAGAGGAAAAAAAATACCAACATGAAATAAGATACACACAAGAGACATGATTTAACGTGGTTCGTCATTGTTTACCTCCACAAATGAAAGAACATAAATTCACTATAAATATAGAGATAACAAAGAGCATAACTGCATGTAACTCTATTACATCCAAACGATGTGAAGACTAAAATTTATCTTTTACTAATGATTTCACGTCAAGGATTTTCCATGTAAAACTTTGATCTCTTTTATCATACGATCACTTTCCCTGTAAAATTTTGATCTCTTCTATCATACGATCACTATATTTGACGGTATAGACACGGCCTACAACACTAACAAGGTGTCTACACTCGATTTATCTCAGGATTCATACAATACCAGATGTATTGAGGAGTCTGAAATCCCTCGACAATAATCAATCAGAGATGATGTATTCCCTGGCATGATCCACTTCTGAATGCATTTCTCTTGTATTTAAATTTCACATTTTTTATTGCATCTTGTTTTCATTAATGTTCTTCGAACCTCGAGATGGACTGAGAACAGGAAGGAGAAGATATTGATCAAGCCATGGTAAAGAACACTGTGGGTGTCTTTGTGGGTGTGCTGGGAAAGGCTCAATGAGATGCTATGAAAGTTACTTTGAACAAAACCATGTTTAAAGCTACTGCTGCATTTTGTTCCACCAAGGCCTCTAACAGGACGAAAAACAAATCATACAATGATTACATACTTTAGATGCGATCACGGTCATCGCAGACATGTTTTCAGACATAAAAAGTAGAATTGCAACAAGAAAATAGCGAAAAAAATAATACGAATATGATATGAGTACAGAACTGTATTACGATACAGCTATCCCACAGTTCTAAGAAGAGCTGTAAAAGCAAGCACCAAATATAAAAGAACCTTCCAAAACAGAATAGAGAACTGTTAGTGTGCATAAACTGATTATGTCTCAACACTACATCAGTATTCAACCTGTTGAAAATGGTTGCCTAATGAATCTCAAACTCTATATATATTCTTTTCCTCGGGCCTCGAAACAATGGAACGAAAAAAATAGTACTATACGTGACCGTTATCTTACACAGACCTCCGAATCTCTAACTGAACAAGCTCGAATTTTCCCTCTTTGCCAACCCGGAAAACTTAAAGGCGAGCATCACGTACCGTCTTATCAATGAGAAGAAGGTGAACAAAAATATACATTGTAAATTTGCAAATACATCTCACTTTATATACACGTACACTGAGGCAATAGGTTGTTGGCGACTGGCGTCTTCACTTGTTTCCGAATGTAGGTTTAAGTAGGCATCATTTTCACCTTTCTTCTCAAATACGCACATTGGGGTTATAATCCAAAAAAACACTATTATATACAGGGGTAGATTAAGCTGTAGCACTACCTAACCAGAACGACCTACGGCCTGCGTAGCCTGCTGAACCAAAGATATAAATTCATCTACATCTTGAAAGCTGAAATCAATCACCTTTTTAACAGAAGCAATCCACTCGAAATCTAGTGCGACTTCCTCTTCCAGGGATGAAGTAGCAGCTATGAAACATGTTTGGGATTTTCTCATGGCCTCCATTGCAAAACTTGCATCCTGTGTCTGCAGAATATTAACATATTAACACGTTTACCTAATTGAACCGCCTAATCAGCTAGTATAGACATTGAGAGACGAAATTCTTACCAAGTTCATATGAGATTATACCGGGTGGTTATCTATGGTCAGTACGGAATGAATTTGTTGCTATACAATAAAATCATTGCACAGGCTTTGGATCTTATTTATTATTTTTTTCCCAGACTTCACAACAGGCAAACTCTCAAATTAAGAAGGAAAACAGCATAGGTCTGACACTAAAATCTACAAGTTCGGCCAGGCTGTTGACATCCGTTTATTAGACGGTGAGGAAAAACAAGTGTATTGACTTCCAGTCAGGATATCAAATGATCTTTCAAAGAATAAAAAATTCAGTTCTACTACCAGCAAGTTAAGAAAGACCGACACCAACAAAGAACCCTGATCGGAATATGCAAGTATATACTGCATGGCCAGTGCTAGCCTGCTATGTATTCTCATCAGTCGTTATCCTCTTCAACACTTCATTCAGATATCGCCTTATTTTCACCAAATTAACATCATATCCATCTCCAACAACCTCATAACTACTTTACATGTCCATATAATTGGTCTTTAACAACCAAGTAGCATTCAAGGAGAACATTTTATAGGCATAATCACCGCCTAATAAAACATATAAAATAATAATGAAGCAAGAGAGAGGAGGGTGAGGGGAATACTGGCATTTTCAGACAGAATTAACTTACAAAGTCAATTAGCCGGCCAAAACTAGGGCGGTTTCTAGCGACGACAACATGGGTTCCAGCGACATGTGAAACATTACCCCCGGCTAATGGAGCCTTGTCCACAATTGCTTGATTATTTAAGTTATTATCAACATCCGATACACAAGATGATGGAGATTCACCTGAAAGAGGCCATTTGAAAGATGTTGGGATGTACTTAATCTGAGAATTGCATCAGGAAAGTGATACTACTAATTAATACGGAAGAAACAAATTTTGCAACTGATGTTGCACCTTAACCAAAACAAAAGTCATCTATGTACAGTGAATACTTTATGTTTACTCAAAGCATTACATGAAATTACAAGTGGAGCACTAGTCCAATGAGAGTTCTGTGGGAAGGGAAAACCAAATATGAAATATTGACATGGCTTCGAATGGATCCTAAAAGGACCACATGCACTTCTGACTGTCAAATAAACAAATCATCGTCACAGTTCCTGCCCCATGGGTAACACAACTTATATTGCAAAAATTTTACATTTTAAAATGAAACATGACAAAATAGAGGGTTCACACCATCTAAACGGATTTGCAATAAATCATTTGGGGGGGTGGGGGGGCTAAGTATTCCTCCGATGACTTCTTACCTTGAGGGACCATCTGTAGAGTTGCCTGCAACTCTTTCAGGTCTCTGCTGCTAGAAGATTGTTTGCAGTAAACAACCCTCATGTACGCTACCTCCACGCATTTATAGGCCAAAGCAGCTGCAGCCAATTTTTGACCTTTTCATATTCTTGGGCACACATTCTGTCAAATTGAGAATTTCAAGATAGAGCAAGATATAGGGATAAATCAACACTCATACTATAACTTTAAACAAAAAAATATATCCAAGGTCAAGAAACAACAGTTTCCCTTAACTTTAGAAACATTCACTTACTCGCAAAGTTTAGTGGCAGTGCTGTACACTTGCATTTGGTTCATGTCTCCATGTCTACCGTTCTCACTATTGCTGATCCCTAGAAGGGCAGCAACACCAAGAAACTTAAGAGCAGCTTGGAAGTAAATCTCATTGCTTTCAAAAACAAAACCAGAACCCTGAAAATGGACAATGAAATGATAGTAGTAGCAGTTAGAATAGCAAAACCATTTCTGCTATAACTTTTAAGAAAGCAGCATATCAATTCAAGGACAAAAGTTGAAAAGAAACCTTAAGACGGTCAGCATAATTTCTAAGTCCATTAGCATCATTCAGGGCATTTGTTACTGTCAGGCTGGAGGAATTTTCTCTAACAGGACTGCAAGCATTCTTGCTGTTGGGTTTTGCAGGGTGTTTTAAAGCCTTCAACGGATCAATGCTGGAAGAGCCATTAACTGGAACCCCAAGTTCTGCTTCAGGTACTGTTCGATGACCTTTCTTCTCTTGCCAACTTTCAGTTTCAGAACGCAAGGATGATTTTGGCATTCCACTTCTTACCTCTGCTAGTATTACTTTAGATTTACCACTAGAATCCTGGATCACATTTTTCTCAGGGGCATTGTTCCCCTTTTTGCTGCATGGAGCAGCAGATTTTACATCAACTTCATCATGCTTTGTATCCAATTGGGTCTCCATTCTACTATCACTTGATGGTTTTCCTGAAGGATTCCTCCTTCCAGAATAGTTCTTCTCATCCTCGCTACATTTCATCTTATCTGCAGCAGAAATTCTTTTATTGTATTTTTTCTGTGAAGTAGAAGCCTTCTTAGATTTATGAGAAAATAATGCATTGCCACCGCACTCCTTGTTCAGTATATCCTCATTATGGGAACTTTCAATAGTATGCTGCACATTCTCAGCAGAATGAGAATCACCATTGAGCACATGGCTATTCCCCAACCTAGAAGAAGGTTTACTTCTAATGCTGATTTTGCAAATAGAATCTTTATCCCGATAATCCAAGGTAGAAGATTTATGGAATCCAGGGTTAAAATCACCTGACATATTCTCTTCCATTTCTGTACAAGATTGAGCAAGCTCAAAAGTACCTTTCCCATTCCAACATCTTCTAAGATTGCCACTTGAAGGAATGCCACTATTTGCAGCATCCTTTCCTGAACCAGCAGTTGATGCAAGTTTTTCCGGATATGAGGTCCTCATTGGAGATGAAGACACTGATTCAACCGGCGAACCCCTTGCTTCTTCAAAAGTTGCTCGGGTTTTACGCGAACCGGAAACCTTTGAAGAACTAGAAGTTGCCGGTGCCGAAATTTGTCCAGTTCCGGAATCCCTTTTCAATGAATCAAGGCTATCCAATTCTTTTTGAGACGAGGACTTTTTCTTGTGCTTACTTAATTTCTGGTTCCTATCAATACATCGGACTTCAATTCCACCAACCAAGTGATCCATACTTTTCCTGTTAGGTGTACCATCACCATCATTTCTATTGGATTGCTTCCCCTCAATCTTAGAAAACCGTAACTTCTTTTCATCCCTAAAGCCACTCCCACTACTTTCTTCCTTCATGCATGACTCATTCCCAATTTGACTGTCCTGCCAGTCCTCCAATTTCCTTTTCTTGACAGGAGCCCTTTTATCACATATTCTCATGTCTAATGACCTGCCGTCTGATGAGGCCCGAGTTTGATCCACGAGTTTCTTCACAGAAGCTACTGATTTTTCTTTAATATCATGTTTTACATCCCCAGAATTAGAGCCCCCATTGTTATTCTGCACGCTGCTTCCATTTGCTTGAGTTGGCAAGCTAGTGCTTGAATTAAGGCCCACCCTTCTGTGATCTAAGTTAGAACTGTGATGTCTATCGGTAGTGTATTCTATTTCTGCTTTGCTTTTCTTTGACCCTTCATATGCATAAGGACCAGACTCCCTCTTGTTTTTCATCTTTGTTTTCTTGGTCTCACCTACAATCAAACAATGCCCAAAATGAATAACAATACTTTCAATATAAAAGTCTTGACTACTACTGAAATTCATATAGTAATAGCAACTAAATACCTCCAACTAGAAGCCTTTCTTTCTCTTCATAGGTGGATTTCTTCATGACAATGGATTCAACAGGAGCCTGAGTCATGCCATTTAGACTCTTACTTTTCAAAGATTCCTTCTGTTGTTTTTTTCTAGAGTTTGACATCTGATTCAGGCCACTGCTACCTTCTTTCAGCACTTCCTTAAGACCATGGTTCCTCTTTCCTTGAACAGAAAAGGCCTGAGAATTGAAACTAGAGTTGTTTTGATCAAGATGCTGAGGCTGAGCTGAAGTGACTAATGACACACTTCTGTTGGCAAGATTTTGTGAGTTATTTTGATTCTCAGCAACTGGAACCTGGTATAATGCATTGAGAGCTTTTGTTGTGTCATCCTCACTAATGTCACACCGATTCATTCTTGGCCTATACAATGATTTCAACAACAAAATTCAGCAAAAGCAAAATATAAATGCATAGGTGCACACACATGGACATGCATCTATACATGTACCTGTTCTTCAGTTTCACCAGGTTTTTCTAATTATTTGCAAGTACCATGTGCACACAAGAAGATAAACAGACACATAGCATGTGCTCAAACAAAAAGACAGATATATTCAACAAAAACTATATTAGATGCTTATCTAAATAACTTACAGCCAGTTAAGCATACTACACAACCACTTCTCAGGGAGTTGTTCTGGTCTAGTATCAAAAGGTAATAGTCGCCACTTGTGACAACGATCACATTGAACCCAATTTTCTTCTATGACTACAGGAGCAGTTGCAGCTGGTGCGGCTGTCTGAGTGGCAAGTCTCTTATCAGTGAGGTGAGGAACCACATCTGGAGCATCCACTCCAGACAGCTGGTTATCAACCATCCTTCCACAAAATTTTACCTTTGATTTATCCAAATAGCCGGTATGCTCCGTCTCAAAATCCATTGGACAATAATCTTTTGGCCTATTCTGAAAATGTGACATTGTTGGCTCCATTTGGCCACTTTTCTGTTCGAAATTTGTTTCCAGTTCATCTCTATGATTATCTTGGACCTTATTAATACCCTTCTGTAACTTCAATTTCTGAATCTTTTCTTTACCTGAAGAAAAACCTTGAATAGAACTAGTGGTATCTTCAAGGGTCACAACCACACTATGTTTCAAGCTTTCCTTCAACGAATCAGCAACTTCTCCATTATTTTTGCTACCTTTTGACTTCTTTCCCTCGAACAATGTCTTTTCCTTCTTGGAGGGAATACTTAATTTATTTTGTACACGAGATGTGGCTACCTGACCAACCTTTGTTTTTGAATCTTCCTCAAGTTTAGAAGGAGCAGAGTTTTGGTAGCATTTGCTCCCAACATTGTCCCCAAGGTCAAGTGAAGCATTCTTATTGGAATTATCTACACTTTGTTCCCAATCCTTTTCATCTAAACTACTCAGCTTATCCCGCTTCTTTCTCTTGCCACTCGATCTGCTCCTTCCAGATATTGACTCCAAAGCATCCTCTTTTGCAGAGTCAGAGGAAAACAATCCACCCCTCAATGCTTTATGATTAGCTTCTGCAGAGACATCACAGACCCTGGTGCTGGCTTCCACAGCAATATTCACTGAGCCAGTTGGAGCTGTGTGTTTCAAGTCATTGGGAAATGACTCCCCTCCTGCAGTCTCAGTTTCATGCTTCTTTTTTACGAACAATGTCTTCTCACTCTCAACATTCATGCGATTTCTATTCTTTGATTCCACCAGCTCTTCATTTTTCCCGATTAAAAAATTTGTTTTCTTCTCATTTAGTTGTTTTCTATTACCCAAAACGGACTCATCTACTAACACGGAAGGATGTTTTTCACATGCCTTGAACAATGGGATGGATTTATTTTCTCTAGAAGGTCTTTCCTTTTCCTTTCTTAATAAGCATAGCAGGTTGTCATAAAGAGGAGATATGAGCACACCACCAGGGACATGATTGGAAGTCATAACCTGTTTAAAGGCAGAAAATATCAATCCACCCTTCCTTTTAGTTCATATGCAGACCTGAAAACAACCAAAAGAAACCTCTACCTGAAGAATGCTAGAGGGTGTTTCTCTAGCGGTTTCTTGAGATATCTTTAATGTTCCTCCACTGTCATCAGGACTGTTCCCCAATGACGAAGATGGAGAAAAATCAAGCCCAAGACCACTATAGATTGCAGCAACTTTTTGTTCTTTTTTATCAGACCCCATTTTAATTCGAACCTTCAATGTCTTCTGATCACTTGGAATCTCTGCTCTTTTGAAACTTTCATCCTTCAAGGAAGACTTCTCAGCAACTATAGCAGAAGTCAAAAGCATATCATGTTTAGCTGCAATATTGCTACTTGGGCAGGAAATGTTCCTTGGTCTCCCAGTTGAGGGGCCATTTAGAGGAGCTTCCAAATTCTGAGATGCACCCTGTATGGTAACACAAACCACATCACTCAAGTAAACTAGAATTTTATTAAGTTGCCAAAGCAACAGTTATGGACTTCTTCTGAAGAAATGACCAAACTGTAGCAAAGATAGCGTCCATATACCTCCATAGAGAAATTGTTGGCAGGGGAGTTTCTCTGTGGTGTCTCCGAATGTGATAATCTTGGAGGAGAACGTTCATAGGTAGGCAAAAAAGAGCCATATCCACCAAATTTTGCCCCTGAAAAGTAATAATTTAAGTCCAAGTCATCATCTTCAATGAAAAACATTAAGCTTGTAATATAACTTCAAATTTGTTAAAACAGCAATGAACCACTTACCCAAATTTTCTGCAGAAACTTCACCTTTAAAATATTTTTGAAAATGGCCCAAAACGTTTTTAATCTTCTCATCCTTTAAGAAATAAAATCCCACATTACTACCAGAATAACATAGAGAGTTTTGAAAATGTAAATTAAAACTAACATATAGACCAGATTGAAGTACATCTTCTCATCCTTTAAGAAATAAAATCCCACATTACTACCAGAATAACATAGAGAGTTTTGAAAATGTAAATTAAAACTAACATATAGACCAGATTGAAGTACATCTATATAAGGCACAACAAGCCAACTGTTATAAGCATCTTCAAGTTCGTTCTTTCCGGGAGCTTGACAATAACATGTGAACTAATTATAGTTCAATATTTCAAATACAAATTGATCAAATAAATTAAGAAAACCATAAATTTAATCACATTTAATTGGGCATTCAGCGGACAGTATGAACATAAAAAAAAATCCAAAATGTTGAGGAAAATCTGGAGATCATACAGGCCAATTTCTGCCAAGAGGCGAGTGTTTTATGAAGTTCAGAGTATCATTTACTTTCTTTTCTATGCCTCAGCTTTTTCAAGCAATATGTCAAAAAATTATTAGTAACAAATTAACCTAATTTCAAACTTATAATAAATTGGGAAATGATTTACAAAGCTGTATCTAGTTTATCGTTATTGTGTCACATTGCATAACTAGCTATAAAATTGCACAAAGACATTAAACATCCTTTCAAAATATATTCTTTTAGTTGTCTTTTAACATTCCTGCTGATGAAAAATTAACCTCGACAACCACAAAGTATGCAAATAAAGTGAAAATTATCATCTCATTCGTCAACATTCACAATCATCGGTCTTCATCATTTCTCGACCAACAAATTGTATCAGTGAATCAATGGTTATATACAACAAATAAATTCAAACTTAAAGCCTCGGAACCATAATGCACAGTGAGAGACACAACTTATGCTGATAAGCACATTGCCTGTTATGCTTAACAAACCCAAAACTAAGCATAATTTCAAATTAATCATTCCTTGCAACAAAGCTTAATAAAATTGCATTGCCTACAAGGTACCATAAATGCATAATGAAACTCAGAATTCGGCCTAATTCCTACCCAAAACTCAAATGGCATTAACTGAAGCATAATTCCAAGTTTTGGAATCAGAAAACAGGTGCAAAAAATGATCTATTTTTTCTCCAAAATTAGACCCTTACAATGTAAGATAAGGCGGTATCGAGGTGAATATTGTAGCCTTCATCTTCGTGAAAGCAAGCTTCTCCTTCAAGCTCGGAGTTTTTATCCATCACCAACCCACCACCCCTCCAAAAACCCTAACCCTAACCTTGCAAAAACCTTAACCCTCAAATTCCGCACCTTTCCGAAAATCCAACATCACTAAATTTTGAAAAAATAAAAAAAATAAAACAAAATATTTAAAACAACAGCAAAACCCACAGAAAATCTCCCAAAATCGAAGCGAATCCTACCAAAATCAAACAAATATATATTACGTAAACATTCCCTTTTAATATCAATCAAATTTGAAAAAAATCGTTAATCAATATTCTTCTTCTTCCCCTTTTTCAATTTTTTTTTTTTTTTGCATTTAACTCACGATAAGAGATATATTGATGACGAGACGACGGAGATTGTAGAGATCGACGAGTGTGGCGCCGACTCAGGATTGACTCGTTCCGCGACGCGGTGCCGAGTTTCGTTGTCCCTTTCTCTGGTTCCAGAAAATTTGTTCACACTTTCGTCTGAAAATTTAAAAGAAAAAAATAGTAAATAAAAGGTTTATTTATTTGTTTGTTTGTTTTCCTTTTTTCAGGTGTAAATAAAATTCCGTTGATGGCGCGTGGGATGCAGAGCGTGGGAAACTTGGGCCTTTTGTAACTGGTACAAAACGACAACGTTTTCGTTACCCATAAATTGCCATGATTGTAACTAGAACAATATTTCACATTTTGTGGACCAAAAGGGAATCTTTTTTGTTTTTCCTTCCCCACGAAGGCAACTCTTTCCTTCTAGGGTTCTTAGTGTGTTTTTGTCAAATTCTTATATTAGTCCCTATACTATGTGAAAGTTTTAGATTTAACGTTTTCTTTATAGATTTCAAAATCGTGATATCGATCCAAAAGGTAACAGAAAAATCTATTAGGTCTGATTTCGTTATTAGTCTCTATATTGTGCATAAGTTATAAATTTAATTTTTATTCTGTAATATAATCATTTTAAATCCCTACAATTTAATCATGTTATCTCTATGCATGGACTGAGATTTCAAAAAGTGCGACTAAAATTTACTAAATTATAATACAAAGACTAAATTTACTACTCATGCATAATATGTGAAGTAATGAAAGAATTCGATATGTTTTTAAAATTAATATGTTCAAATTAATTTATTAGATCGAACCGAGTTTAACTTTAGATAAATTTATTCGATCAAACATAAGATGATATTAGACTTCATTATATGGAAAAAGAGATGTAATTTGGCCTAAATTTTTAAGTTGATTTGGTTTCCTACTAAAATGTCTTTGCTTTGCTTATTGGGGAATGTAAGCTCAAGAGTGCACCCTAATTTGCCATCCACAACAAGAAAGCCATTTTATTGGGATAGGGTTTATTTTGTTGAAGTTAAATTTTAGGGTAAACTATATCATTGACCACGTAAATATTTAGCATTTTTATTTTTGCGACTGATCTTTCAAGTTTGTCAATCAAACCATCTAACTATTTAATTGTTTCAATCAAGCCACTAGTCGTTACAGTTGATGAAAATGATGACGTGACAGTTAATCAGCACATGTGTCACCACATTCAATCATTGATGTAAAATTTAATAAATTAAACATTCAATCAAGATCTAACATGTGTCGGCACATGTTCATGACACTTATCATTGATGACACGTATCACCACATGATTGAAAGTTTTTTATTAATATAATTAAATAATTTTTTAATCAAATGGTGACACGTATAACCGTCTGGAAATTAAATTACAAATAAGGTGTAAAATTTTGATGTTGGGCAGACTCCAACCTATATCACGCGGAAAAAGGGCACACGCTAGAGGCACTAAGCTAACATCATCATTTGAATTAAGGAATACACAAATATATATATATAAGGGAAAATGAAAATGTTGTTAACTTGGGCTAAATGATGAAAAAGATATTATATTTTTTATAATATAAATATACATTTATATAAATTTATTTTTACTCTTATTCGTATATTGAAACATTTTTATTAAAATATAAACATATATTAATTTTAAATTTTGAAAGTAACATTAATTTCAGTATATATATATATATAAATTATGATGTTAGCTTAGTGGCTCTACTGTGTGCCCTACATTTGGGTGACACAAGTTCAAGTTCTTCAAACGTCCAAATTTTATGCCTTCTAACTTAATTTTCCTCCACGTGGATGACACGTATAATTAAATATAAAACTATGATTCAAATCTCCACTTTCAACATTGAAAATATTCATCAAAATTTTGAGAAAATTATTTTTCTAATATTTATATTAGTATGAGTCGTTGTTTAAAATGATTATTTATTTAAATAATTGTTTTTTAAAATATAATGTTAAATTAGTAATATGTTAAAATTAAATAATATTTTAATTAATTAATTTTTTTTTACTAACTCCAACTTTTCTACTATAGAAATTGAGGAATGTGTTTTAATCTAAAACAATCACAACCACAACAATAACAATAACGATTAATCTAAAAATTATTTTAAAAATATTTTTATATTTTAAACAAATATTTTTAATTATTTTTATTTTTACCGAATAAAATAAATTGGGTTTGGAGATCGTTCTTGCATTTACAGTAACTAATTCAGATTAATCGATCAATAAATTTGATACCAGTGATTATATCAAAAAAATTATTTTTATTTTTAAATATAGTACAAGAGATGTGTCATTATTCTAACACTTTTTGTAAATATTTCCCTTTAAGTCTTATACTAAGTATATGCTTCTTTTTTTATACTGCACAATCTTAAAATAAAAAGTCCATACATTTTTATCAAAATATATAAGTTCATATTGTTTCATTTTTAAAAAAAAACTTTGATTAATTTCTATCATTCATTTAGTCTCATTGTTTTCAACCACCGGAAGCGGTTTATTTTCTTAATATAAATATATAATCTCACTTAAAAAAAGAAATTAACGTCGTTGATGGTCGCATACCTAAAGCAATGACGTTTGTAATGTTAGGTACTGAAATAATTTAAAAAACTTTAGATATCTATTCTTGAAGAATAATATAGTTTATACACTTATTTTATATTTAAGCCTTTAAATTTTAATTTATCCTTCGTACTTTCTTTTATTTGCGTGTTTTATTTTCTCTCTCTTAGTTTGTTATATTTGTTATTGGGTCTTCATTACCCTTTTATTTTCAATTTTATCATTTTCTTAGTAAAATAACATACAATTGATATGTTGCTGACATGATATTTTCACATACATTTAATTATTTATATGACATATACTATTTCACCTAAAGTGATGATGTATCACATATCACATCATTTCGAGTAATGACATGTTATGTGTCATATAAATAAATAAATCATATGTAGAAATATCGCATCAACAATATGCGTTCAATGATAGTCAATTAACGATCTTCTAATAAATCTTCTAAGTTTTCAAGTAAATGACGTTAATGTGTCAATCTTAATTATAATTACTAAAAATTTATGAATATTTGAGATATCTTATTTATATATATATATATATATATATTATCGTACAAACAAAATTATTTTAATTATTAAAAACATAATTGTTATCTTTAAAAGTTTTTAGTTCGAACATCAAAAAATATAAAAGTGATGAATTTTCATTACTAAATTATTAAAAATCTTTTAAAAAGTAGGTTACCTTATATAATTATCCTAAATTAATAGAAAAATGTCTTTCAATTTTTTTCAACAATAAATAATTCGAAAAAAAGTAAAAATATTAACTTCAGTTGAAATAATGAAAAAATATGAAATAATAAGCCATTTTTTAATTCATTACATTCAATGCATCTATATAAGTCATCAAATCAAACAAAAATAATAAAGAGGAATAAAATATAAAAATAAGTAAAATGACAAAATTATTTTCAATATTTATATAAATAATTGTTTTGATTTTTATTTTTGAAATATTTTAAATCAAATATTTAATTTCTTTTAAATGTCTTAGGTTGGAAAAAACAGATTAATTGACTAATTGACAATACATACTATTGATATAATATTTTAATATGCGTCGATGATAATTTGATATGAATTTGTTTTACTCAAAATGATATCGTGAGTCATTTAAAGTAATTTCACGATATATATTATGTTATTGTATCACGTCGACTTACACTCGTTTACATCAATAATATACATTGAATATTAGTTAATTAACAATTTTTTTAGTATAAAATATTTTGATAAAAATTAAAAGATTTAAGATTTAAGATACTTTTAAAAAAATATTGATGAGAATGAATATTTGTACAAAAATTTGGGTAAATTTGTCATTATAGGCCACCTTTCACTTTCAGCATCGAAATCTCCTAATATTTTACCCCAAGACAACGATGATAATTTACCCTTCAATGTCCCTTTCAAAGCTTTAATCTTTTCTTCCTTAGGGTTTGCAATTTTTTTTATTATTAATCAAAAAAATAATTTTCTTTGAAAAGAAAAACAGATTCGATCATATCGCAAAAACCCCAATCTCGATCTTTTCACCCACATTCATTAAATTCAGAAAAAATTCAAACTTTTTTTGCAATCCCTTTTCAGATTTGGATTTTTGTTTATCCCACTCTTACATTTAACTGGATTTCCCCCCACAAAATTCGACCCTTTTGCCTCCATTGTTTGTTGAGTACCAATTTTTTTTCTTCACTTTTTTGTTCCCTGAAAAAGTCGGGTTGTCCGTGCAATCAAGTAAAGGTAAGTCTTTAATGTTATAATCGTTGTTTTATTGACCTTTTCTTTTTAATTTTCTTTATTTGCAGTGATTGAAGAAGAGAAAATTGTTAAAAAGGGTGTTGATTGCTAAAAACAGTGTTTTCCCCCTTTGGTTGTTAAAAAGGCTTGATTCAATTAAAAAAAGGCGGCTGCCAAATGTTTGCTTCCGATATGAATCCGGCGAGGGATGCCGGCAGAGTTTCCACAGCAGGCATGGTGATGTTTCCAGTTCAATTTACGTGGCCGTATGGTGGAAGAAGTGTCGCCGTATCTGGATCTTTCAATGGGTGATACTTTAAATCAATTCTCTGTCTTTTAACATGCTATTGATATGATATTTAGGCTTATGATTAGTATTTGAATTAATGGTTAACCGTTTGAAATTGAAGGTGGACTGAGCTCGTGCGAATGTCACAGGTTGAAGGTTGCCCCAATGTGTTTAAAGCCGTTTGTTCCGTACCACACGGTTCTCATGAGGTTGGTGGTTAGTTTGCTCTATAGGAATTGGAAATTCAAACTTGTAGGAACATTGGTAGTTTCTAACATTGTTGCTGTGACTTCCATTTTTCTTGAATTATCTGTATCCGACACACATATTCTGATATGGCTACGGTGGTATAGCCCTCCGGATACACATTTTGGAAATGTATCCGTGTTTAACACTTACACTTGAATCTGAGTAACTTTGATTTTTGATATGTTCAGTGCGCTTATATCATTGCCTGCCGCTTTTATCAGTAGAAACTTGAAATGGATGGATATTTAGGTTTGAGT